CCGGTTGGAGAGTGGCAAATGTAGATCAATGTCTTGCCAAAGGACATTAGTGCCGCGGTGGGACTTGAACCGCGGACCTTGTGATCCACAGTCCGCTGACATATACACTCAACCACGATCCTTTTATTGATTTGGTTTTTAAAGAAAAACAAAGTTTCGTACTGTTTTGGCATTCAGGTCCGTCGAAACCGGTGCCTATGCAGAAACACGCGTATATGTTGACCCCATCCGCGCAAAGACCACCATTTTGACACGGTGTACTCATACACTCGTTGATGTCTGGAACAGATCAAGAGAAGAAGGACATAAAATCGGTCACTTGGTTAAATAAAAAAAGGGTCATGATAGGATATATGCAGAATATGCTTCTTTTCATTCGAAAGCCTTGCACGTTCACACAACTTCTTTTCTTCTTAGAAATCTATGCAGATCCGGCTATATTGGTAATATTTTTTTACTTTATTCTGCAAAAGACTTTAAAATTCTAAATACTGCACGAATATCTTTTCTTCTCACTATGAATTTCCGAAAGATGGTAATAAATACTTTCTTCTGACTTTTTGAGAATTTCGTTATATCAGACCACAATTTATTCCTATGTACGTTGTAATAAAAAAGGATGAATTAAGAATGTAAGAGCAAAAACATAGAGTTTTCATAGTTTCATGAAGATACTCAAAGCTAAAACTTTTCGAATATGAATATATGAGCATTTGAAGAGTCACCCTTGTCAGTCAGAGGAAATTTGCTCCCTGGCATCTTTCCATACTATCTGAAAAAGAAAGAAAAAAAAATCACTTTTCCCTAAACTCAACTCTTTATTTGAACTGAAAGTCGGAGTAAATCCTCAAATATCAAAGGAGGAAACACTTACTTATTTGACAATTGTCGCCCTCGTATCCTGCTACACATGTACATGTGTACATTGCAATCTGATCGGTACACGTACCTTCGTTCTCACAAGGGTTGGAAGAACACTCGTTAATATCTGAATAGTGAAAAGCAGTGGTTAAACAAAATGTAAAACAGTCATGCTGAACATTCCACCCTAAACATTTTTCAGCATGAGGGTTGGTATCTAATTGGTTATGCTTGAATATGCACAATTGTATAATATTTATTAAACTAATGATCACTTTTGGCAAGTATTTGGCACAATATTCCTCACACGGGGAAAAAGAGGGTATTGCAAGTTGCTTGTTTTGTTTATTTGTTGTTGTAGCATTTATTCATTCATTTATGTATGTATCTATCAATATGTTTATTTGTGAAGGGGCGGTCACACAATCGTCGATATCTAACCCGACAATATCCTAGCTAACAAACAAAACTGAGAAACATAATTATAAACAAACGGCTTTATCGTAAATGAAATCTGTGAAGGCCTGAAAATGTTGTTAGATAGTCTCTTGAACAAAAATCATGTCCTTGTCTTTTTTAGATTTCCTTTCTAAAACAACCTGAATATTAAGTAACTAATTTAGGCCAATATTGTTCAACAGTAAATCAAAATATCCAAAATATGATTGGGATGGCGCCTAAATATGAATTTCGAACTAATACAGTAAAGTGTTTGGTACGTTGTGACTTCTACCCACATGGTCCGAGAGTTTTGTCTTTCGGCAAAAGCCAGAAAGCTTCTTCTATCAGCATTCATTACTTAAATTTACTTTAAAAAAAAACTTGCATGGGGCAAGTAACTGAAATCAAGGATAAAGATCTGAATTACGTTTCACCTCACTCCTTCGAATTTTTTTACTCATACAGTATCAACTTAAATCAAATAAATATGACGCAAAATTGGCTTTGGCTTTATTACAGGAAATATGAGGACGCTTTCTGAAATATCCATAACTTAAAGTTTAAGATTTGATGAATATCTTTCTACCTTACCACATAATCCAAAAGAAGTTTTAAAAGGGTGCCGGATTGCACCTTTTAGGAGACATGTTAGTACCCTAATAATGTTTCAATCCTGCTCCATTTGGGATGCAAACAGAGGCAATAGCAGCACATTTAGGGGTTCAATTTGCACCATTTAAAAGGTGCAATCCTGCACCCATACTCGAGGAATACTCTTGGAATCTGCTCGTACACAAATACATATTAAACACGCATGTTGTTTCTTGGTTAGTAGTCATTATAATCAATATATCTATTGCTAAAACGTGAATGTAATTGTAACATGATCAGACAAAAGAATCTATTGATTAATGGTTGCCGAAGGAAAATGCAAATCACAAATTGATGTAGCAGCATCCAAAGGGTGGAATAATCTCCCCATGTCCATCAGACAATCTGCCTCTATCGATATTTTTAAGAAGGCTCTGAAAACTCATCTCTTTACATGAATTCTCCTCTATATTTAATTATTTAATTTAATCAATTGAATTTAATATTTTATATGGAATATCTAATTGTAGCCTTTAATTACTACATGTAGTAAAGACCAATAATATTATTTGATGTTAGCGCTCTGAGCCTTATGGGAATGGCGCCCTAAATGTTCATTGTATTGTTTTGTATTGTATATTGTAATAATTTGCTTAACAAATCATGATACATGTAGTTTTATGTGAACACGTGTAAAGTAATATGCATGCAATATGCAAACTTTTATTTTGTACCCTTTTTTGATCGATAGGGTTCATTTTTGTGGGGAGGGTGCACAATCTATTGCACCCTTTTTTGAACCCCTTTTCCTTCAATAGGGTTCATCAGGTGGGCTGTATCTAATACAGACCACCTTATATTTTTGTTAAAATCGCCTTTATTTATTATTTATTTATTTATTTTTTTTTTTTCTTATTTCTACCCACTTTTTTGTGTTCAAGATAATTTGAAAATGGTTCAATCAAATAGCTTGAAATTTGACACACATATGTATAGGCATATGAACAAAACACAGCAAACTTTTCAACCTTGACCTTGACTGATGACGTCATCTAGGCGCCATTTTGTGAAATTTTCTGAAAATTTACTCATGATCATCTTTTCATAACGGTACGTCATTTCTCATTCATATTTATCATGATCAAGGTCAATATCAGTCCGGACAATTTCAGGACAAAAAAACGCGCGCGTGCGCGTACGTCCGCGCGTCAGTGCGCGCGCAAAATTTTAAAATGCTCAAAATCGTCTTTAATTTATTTTGCATACGTTTCAGGTCATTTAAGCATTTTATAAAAAAATCGCGCACACGCGCATGCGTGCGCGTTTTCGCGCGTAACACCATTACACAACGCAGAATCGCCATTTTTTTTCTTTCATGATAAATTCCATATTTGTTTAAACAATTTAATACTATGTTCATCTCTTTATGACTATTAATATTAAGATGAGCGTCCATTCAAGATAAATGTCCGTGCGCGCGAGCTCTTATAATACATAGCATATATGGGCAAAAACATGCCTATACAAAATCCATTATAGCTCTTTGAAATGCACCGAGATCCTCAATTTTTTTTTCATATTCTGATAGAGTATGAGTCGGAGATATGATTTCATGTCTCATTTGGCCATTAAGTGTATCGTGACATCATCACAATGGCCTTGGAACTCAAAATACGAATTTGCATATTATTACGTCAGCAATATGTAAAATTGATTGTATCTCTGTAAATATTGATCAATTTTCTTCAAAATTTCGATATGTTGTAGCTAAGACAATTCTCTACAAGCGCAGTAATAACTATTTTTTATTTTGATGACGTCATCATAGTGAAAATCTCGATTAAAGGCCTCATGTCAAACATTTCATAATTTCCGTTATCCCTATAGTAGGTGAATTTCGTTCACGTCATGAAACTACATGATATTGTTTTTTAGGAATTTTTAAGCAGTATCTCGCTTCAGTTATTTTTGCTCTATTTTGTCTCAAATTTAAGTTGACCAGCCCACCTATACTTGTTCCAAACAAGTATTATATGTCTAGTTTTTATTTGCATCGTTCTTTCTTAGAGTGTACGGGTAGATCTTTTTCTATGTAACGAGCCTTTTAGCATACCCCCCCCCCCCCTTTCAGCATAAGTCCGGTGGGTAAAGTCAATACGGGCAGATCTTTTTCTTTGTTACGAGCCGGAGATTTTGGGAACATGAATGCGGTCCCTCCATTCCCGAAGTGGGGGGGGGGGGGGGGGGGGGGGGGGAGTAGTACATGTAAAACGTAAATTTACACTAATATCTATGTGCTTTTCTCTTCAAATCTATTCGCGATAACGAAAAACAAAACCCCGAGCGTAATGGAAAAGGGGGAATGCAAACTGAAAAGCAGATATCCGTTCAGATATAGCTCTTTTCTACACCACCGTATTTGAGTGATTTTTGTATACAGACGTGTATCAATCGGATATGATAATATATTTCTCGTTCAATCGCTGAAGAGGTTCATCTGTTTGGTGATGTAACTTAAAAGTTATTTCTTCCTTTATAGTTCAGCTTTTGAAGCATTTCATAGTCATGGTAATACAAAAAGCATTATGAAAAGGATACCAATTAAATTCCCAATGAATCGAGATAGACAAAAGATAGCTAATAAATATAATAGTAAATGTATAATATTCATCACTTTCTCTAGGAAAAAGTTTTTTTGATTTCATTAAAAAATAATAAATAATAATAGTTCGTCCTTATTTAGCGCATTTCAGGACCGCAGGCCCTCTCAATGCGCTTTGCAGATATATATTATTACCCCGGTCATATGGATTAATGCTTACCCGCACACAAGGTATGCACATTCTCCACTCCCTGGGGAGCATTCCAGCCAGTCGCCATTGTACAAGCGCCATTGCTAATCAAACCACATTAGCTTTCGCATCCTACCGGTACCCATTTAACACCCGGTTGGAGAGTGGCAAATGTAGATCAATGTCTTGCCAAAGGACATTAGTGCCGCGGTGGGACTTGAACCGCGGACCTTGTGATCCACAGTCCACTGACATATACACTCAACCACGATCCTTTTACTGATTTGGTTTTTAAAGAAAAACAAAGTTTCATACTGTTTTGGCAGTGGGTTCCGTCGAAACCGGTGCCTGGGAAACCGAAGACTGTCATGCCTGTGCAGACACAGAAGTATTGGTTGTTCCCGTCCACGCAAAGACCACCATTTTGACACGGTCTACTCATACACTCGTTGATGTCTGGAACAGATCAAGAGAAGAAGGACATGAAATCGGTCTCTTGGTTCATGAGTAGATATATGCAGAATATGCTTCTTCTTTGTCATTCGAAAGCCTTGCACGTATACACAACTTCTCTACTCCTTGAAAATCTATGGAGATCCGGCTATATTGGTGATATATTTACTTTATTCTGCAAAAAAGTAAATACTGCACAAATATATTTCCTTTTCACTGTGATTTTCAGAAAGATGGTACTAGATACTTTTTCTGACTTTGAGGATTTCGTTATATCAGACCAAAATGAAAAGGATAAATTAAGAATGTAAGTACAAAAAATACAGTTTTCATAGTTTCATGAAGATACTCAAAGCTATCCCTTTTCATAATTTGAATATATGGGCATTTGAATAGCCACCCCTGCCAGTCAGAGGACATTTGCTCTATGGCATCTTTCCATACTAACATACAAATAATGAAAAAACCTCACAAATCACTTTTCACATTTCCCTGAATTCAACTATCTATTTGAAGTGAAAGTCGGAGTAAATCCTCAAATATCAAAGAAGGAAACACTTACTCATTTCACAATTGTCGCCCTCATATCCTGCTGCACAGGTACATGTGTACATTGCACTCTGATCGGTACACGTACCTTCGTTCTCACAAGGGTTGGAAAGACACTCGTTAATATCTGGATAGTGAAAAGAAGTGAAACAAAATGTAAAAATTAGTAATGCTGAACATTCCACCCTAAACGTTTTCCAGCATGAGGGTTGGTATCTAATTGGTTATACTTAAAGATACACAATTGTATAATATGTATTAAACTAATGATCACTTTTGGAAAGTATTGGCACAATATTCCTCACACGGGGAAAACGAGAGTTTGCAAGTTGTTTGTTTTGTTTATTTATTGTTGTAGCATTTGTTTATTCATTTATGTATGTATCTATCAATATGCTTATTTGAGAAGGAGCGGTCGTACAATCGTCGATATCTAAGATGACAATATCCTAGCCAACAAACAAAATTGAGAAACATAATTATAAACAAACGGGTTTATCGTAAATAAAATCTGTAAAGGCCTGAAAATGTTGTTAGATATTCTCTTGAACAAAAATTATGTCCTTGTCTTTTTTAGATTTACTTTCTAAAACAACCTGAATATTACATAACTAATTTAGGACAATATTGTTCAACCGTCAATAAAAATATCCAAAATATGATTTTATGACTTAAGATTTCCTTTCTAAAACAACCTGAATATCAAAGAACTAATTTAGGACAATATTGTTCAACAGTCAATCAAAATATCCAAAATATGATTGGGATGGTGCCTAAATATGAATTTTGAACTAATACAGTAAAGTGTTTGTTACGCTGTCACTTCTGACCACATGGTCCTAGAGTTTTGTCCTTCGGTAAAATGCAGAAAGTTTCTTTTATCAGGATTCATTACTAAAATTTACTTTAAAAAAATACTTACATGGGGCAAGTAACTGAAATCAAGGATAAAGTTCTGAAGTACGTTTCACCTTACTCCTTCTATTTTTTTCTATTCTCATACATTATCAACTTAAATCAAATAAATATGACGCAAAATTGGCTTTGGCTTTATTATAGGAAATATGAGAACGCTTTCTGAAATATCCATAACTTAAAGTTTAAGATTTGATGAATATTTTTTTTACCTTACCACAGAATCCAAAATTAATGTTCGTTATTTGTCCTGGTTAATCTTATCAGTTATCTTACCCCCTTGATTCCTTGAATTCTTTAGTAGCAAGTAGTCTATCATATTGAAACAAATCTTTCAAAACGATATGTATGACATTTTGTTGTTTCCAGTTCTCACCTCTTTCACAGTGAACGTCAGTGTATCCTACTGCACAGAAACATGTGTACATGTTAGTTTCATCTGAACATGTTCCTTCGTTCTGGCAGGGCTGAGAATCACATTCGTCAATATCTGGTCAGTGAATTAAAAAAAAAAAAAATTAATCCTTATATTATGCAGTTTTAGAAGTAAGAGATAGAACGTCGTCTACGTGCATGGCATGACAAGTTATGTTTTCTTTGACAAGTATATGGCCCACAGAGCAGTATGAAATCCAATTATGATAACTTTTGTTGTGCATCTAATAATGTTTCAGTTGAGGCAAGATTGGCTTGATTTAATGTTGAATGAAAGGGACTTGTTTGTCTCAACTATACCTATTTTTTTCAAGTATCCGATGGATGAATGATGCTTAATCAGCATACAAATAAATAAAGTATATACTTATTTAATCGTTCGTTGTTACTATGCCCAGGTTCTCGTTGTTTATAGGGTTTCGTTCAATATTTCACGAGAACGGTTCACGGGTTTTTCAGCATTTCTTCAGAGCAACTTGCTATCACGATTGGATTCCCCCTTACTGTACCCAAATAGGCACACCATCAGAGTGCAGTATGGTAAAGGTTCGAATTTTGTTAATTTTTTTAACAACAACCAAAAACACCATAAAAACTGGTCAAAGATCACAAGGACTGGAAAGACACTCGTTAATATCTGGATAGTGAAAAGCAGTGGTTAAACAAAATGTAAAAATTAGTAATGCTGACCATTTTACCCTAAACGTTTTCCAGCATGAGGGTTGGTATCTAATTGGTTACGCTTCAATATGCACAATTGTATAATATGTGTCAAACTATGATCACTTTTGACAAGAATATGCACAATATTCCTCACACCGGGAAAACGAAAATTTTGCATTTTTTTGTTTTGTTTATTTGTTGTTGTAGCATTTTTTGTTTGTATCTATCAATATGTTTATTTGAGAAGGGGCGGTCGCACAATCGTCGATGTCTAACATGAACATATTCTAGCCAACAAACAAAACTAAGAAACATAATTATAAACAAACTGTGTATCTAATAATGTTTGAGTTGAGGCAAGATTGGCCTGATTTATGTTGCATGAAATGGACTTGTGTGTCCCAACTACAACAATACCTATTTTTCAGGTATCCGATTGGATGAATGATGCTTAAAGGGATCGTTTAACAATGTTAAATCTGAGATGCACGGCCCTACATGTTATCGGTGTCTGTGATATGGTGTTATATTAAAATCCTTAAACAAAATTAAAAAAATTGCGCTTCAAAATGATCAAGAAGTGCCTCAAAAAAGTAAAAACCTTTGAGTGACCGGTTCTACCATACTCGTTTTCCCCAAATAGACTGTAGTGTTATGAAAACCGTTTGGCAAATGCAAAATTTGATTTCGATTTTCAATCATAAATATCTTGATAATTAGACGGGCGATCGGCTAGTTAAAGTCATGGGGTTACTGACTAACCTACAGGTTTATAATTATCATTGCAGCATCCTTTAAAGGATCTAAGACAAATTTACCGGAACCCTTTAAATCAGCATACAAATAAATAAAGTATATACTAGTTTAATAGTTCGTTGTTACTACGCCCAGGTTCACGTTGTATGTAGGGTTTTATTCAATATTTCACAAGAACGGTTCACGGGTTTCCAGCATTTCTTCAGAGCAACTTGTTATCACGATTGGATTCCCCTTAATGTACCCAAATAGGCCAACCATCAGAGTGGAGTTAGGGAAAAGTTCCCATTTTGTTATTTTTTCAACAACAACAAAAAACACTATAAAAGTTGTCAAAGATCACCATATACTTCAGCAAGAACGCGTATAAACCAGTAATGTCATAAGGCCTAGAACGCATTTATGTTTAATTTTTTTTTAAAAGACACGTTACAGCTTTATGAGGAGAAAATCTTGCTGAAAGACTGTTACTTAGGACGATGTAAATGAATGAAATCGGTTTTGTTGCAGAATTAATGATTTTATTTGATGCCCTCACATCCGTGTGGTATGGGCGGCCTGTCAAAAGTTCATTTTAAATCTAACATAATAATAGTTTCGCGAAGTTCAGTTCTTAAATTTCGGAGGGGGGGGGGGGTGCCATAAAAATCATCTCCTTTCATATATCACTGGATATTTACACCCTACAAAAGGAGTAGAGTAATTTTAATGCATGTACGTACTTGTCTGACAATTGGGATCGTCCCATCCTGGTGCACAGATACACGTGTATCCTCCTATACCATCCAAACACGTACCATCATTCTCACAAGTATCACTCGAACAGTCATCGTCATCTGTTTGCCAAAACAAAACCAACACCATGTTACGAGCAGAAATGAGTATGTGGGGAGGGGGAGGGGGAGGGGGGGGGGGGTCAGATATAGATAACGAGACTATGGTAGATGACAAACAAATTGGGATACAGAGCTAGTAATATATACAAAGAGAAAATGGTTATACGATTAATTTACAGAAGAAAAATGACAAACTGCTACACAAAAATATCAATAGACTATTTCATTTTCGTACGCGTTCTTGTATTAATATTCACGCATTGTTTTGGCACCATGATACGCTTCCCAATGTTTGTGTAAGTAATTATGTGATAAATTCGGAAAAGTCATTGAAAGCAACCGGATTTTCTTCTTTTTTTCGGGGGGGGGGGGGGGGTTATCAACAAATATTAAGAATGATAATACTGAATTATTCTTCCTCGGGGTGCTTATTGATGTTACTATACAGTTTGTGTTGGTGTCTTAAATCCAAACGTCGATACACTCATAACTCTCTCTCGAGATGCTCAGTAAAATGTTTTCCTTAGATACATACTAGGCTGTGGAAATGAAAGCACTTCAAAGCAGTGGGTTCCAGCCAAAGTACATGTAAACCACCTATATCCTTTATCAAGATACTGATCTAAAATACTACCCAAATGAGTGACTTTACCTGTATTTTGAAGTCCAAATTTTCTAGTTGGACTTTTAAAGGGTCTACATTTACCCGGCGCTCGAGACCAACATGTTTTAAGTAATTCCACTTCCTTTAAATGTATAAAAGCATGGCAATGGCTATTGGAGCAGTCATGCAAATCAGGGGCCATATTTTAAAAACTATGTCATCTTTTATGGTAGGAAAATTGTGTAAATTTTCGTAAATTACGCAGAATAATTGTATTTGTAGTGAATGGGAAGATATTTCTTGTAGCACTAACTTCACGCGAACGCAGTCAGCGTTGTCATCTGTTATGACAATAAATAACATGCTTTACAAAGAGGGGTAACAGAGCAATTGTCACTAGGGCGTATGTCGTACAATCCATTTGTTACTACTCGAGGGTCCTCCTGAGCAACGAATAAGGTGTACTTACTAATTTGACAGTATGCACCACTGAATCCTAGAAGGCAATCGCAGTAATGTCCATTAACAAGATCCATGCAGATCGCACCATTGACGCACGGCATGGAGCCACATTCATCGATATCTGGGAATAAAACATGCGTGATTTATGTTTATGGTGGGCATATTTGTCCAAATTATAGAACACTTGAAAATGGTTAACGTTTCCCCTGCATACAAAGGATCATGCAACAAAACTTGTTTATGAGAGGTCACCTGACAAGGCATACTCTACCTATTTACTGATGGAGGTGACGTGGTTCATTTGCGGTTCATTTCACATGACTCTCGATCAAGGGTTGAGGGTTCGAATCACAGCTCGGCTCTCACGTCTATTTCCAATACACTAATCTACATTTAACAATCTCCATTAGGTGTTAAAAGGGCACCTGGCAGGATTTAATTCTTGAAATGCACTGTGCGCTTATTACGGCTACCAGAGCCAGAACTGAGGGTATTCATTTCCAAACTTCTGTGGAAGGGCAAAGGTCCGTTCTATCATAATATGATATGTGCTATTTTTATTAATGATATTATTATTTTTACTACTACTACTACTACTACTACTACTACTACTACTGCTATTATCATTATAATTATTATTATCCAAGGGGAACTTGCTATATTTTCCCCCTTTGCTGGCATAAACGTTATGGGATTGTAGCGGAGATAAAGTGAAACTTTGAACGTGACCTTGGACATCATTGACGTGTCATCTGGCAGTACAAGCCTACCTACAGCAGCCTTATAGCGGTATTTAGATCATCCACTTTGCTTTTCGTTCTAAAACAGTTCGATTAAGTATCACCCAATTCTTGGTGAAAAGGGACTGTGCATGTTAGATGGGTAAAATGTCACTCAGTGTTGGATAAATTGTACTCGACTTTGGTAAAAGCTACTCCAAATTGGTTAAGATTTTACCGAATAAACATGACAGATGGTTTTAATGCCAAGGCTATGCAGACCCAGCGTCCTCCACGTGACCAGGCTCGTGTGGTGACTCGGAAATAAGAACACTTCGACCCTGTTATGTTTGATCCTACAAATGTACATGTAGCACTGGCGTACCTATGGGGGGGGGGCAGGGGGGGCAGAGTGCCCCCCTGACGGGCTCCACGGGAAAAAAAGAAAAAGGGGAAAGAAAAGAAAAGAAAAGAAAGGAAAGAAAAAGGAAAAAGGAAAAGGGAAGAAAAAACGGAAAGAAAGAGAAAAAAGGAAAAAAAGGAAAAGGAAAGAAAAAAGGAAGAAGAAGAGAAAAGGAAGAAAAAGGGAAAAGAAAAGGAAAGGAAAAAAAAGGGGGGGAAAAAAGAAAAAAGACCATGGCCGTACGCACGGGGGGGGGGGGGGGCAGTTGACCCCAGATATTTTGAAAACGTACAGTTTTTTTCCTGAAAATGTAGTGTAGGCCTATACCAAATCCTTCAATTCTACTTTTGAAAATGCAAAAGTACCTAGCTCATGACTAGTTCGGTCGCTCGAACTCCCTTCACTCCTTTTGCTTTTGAGATTCTTCGAAAACTTTTAACGCATCTTTCCCCTCCCCCACCAGAAAAATATTCCGCATACGGCCCTGAAAAATTAAGACAAATGAAAATAGGAAAATAGAAGTGATATAACAAATTCGAAACTCTTCGCTGGCGCGAACTGCTTGCTAGCCTATTTTGTATTAAAGGTTTTCACTTGCTCGTCCCCCTGAAAAAAGAAAAGGATTAGCATTGCCTAGAATACAATTGTGCCTGCCCCGACCTGCAACCATGGCAACAATAACACACAATGTATGTACCAAATGTTACTAAAAGAGACTAATTCATTTTTATCGCTCGCTACACTCGCTCGCGAATAAAATGAATAGACATTGCTTTGGAAACAATTGTGCCAACCCTTGACCTGCAACAATATAATAAAAAATGGGAGAGTTTTTTCGCCCTCTCGCCAAAAAGGAATTGAATCGCGTTGAACGCGATTGCGTCCATCCTGACCTGCACCAATAAAAACAAGTTTATTTGTTAATTTCTATTAAAAGAGATTTTGTTTTGCTTGCTCGCTATGCTCGCTCGCCAAAATGGAATTGACACCGCTAACGTGCCCGCCCCAACCTGCAACAACCAGTTAATAATTATGTACCAAACGTTATTCAAAGAAGTTTTGGTGTGCTCGTGCTCGCCAAAACGGAATTAACATAACCTTAGACATGATTGTGTAAGCCCTGCCCTGTAACAAAAAAATCTGAAATTTATGAACCAACTATCATTACAAAAATTTTGCTCGCTCGCTACGCTCGCTCGCCAAAATAGAAATAACACCGCTTTTAATAATCACGTCCCTTACATGGAACAATGAACCCAAGTTTATGTACCATATTTTCCGTATAAAAGAGAAGTGATTTTTTTTTTCGCTTGCTCGCTACGCTCGCTCGCCAAAATAGAAATAACACCGCTTTTAATAATCACGTCCCTGACATGGAACAATGAACCCAAGTTTTATGTACCATATTTTCCCTATAAAAGAGAAGTGATTTTTTTCGCTCGCTAGCTCGTGGAATTATGTGCCCACCATTAACCTGCTACAATATCATTAAAAAGAGAAATGTAGGGGGTTGCCTGCCCGCCAAAATGGGATTGACATTGCCTTAAACACGATTGTGCCCGCCCCCGACCTGCAACAATGAAACAAATTTTATATAACAATTCATTGAGAGAAAGATGTATTTTCGCTCGCTAGCTAAAATGGGTATAAAATTAGCCTAAACACAATATTGTTCCCGCGCCCTGCATGGGACAATTGAACCAAGTTTACTCTCTTAATTTCTAGGACTTATTTTTAATCCAAGGAGACTTGGGACAGTGACAATTGTCACTGTCCCAAGTCCCCCTTGGATTTAGAATAAATTCTTTGGACTTTAAAATAAGTCCTAGAAATTAAGAGAGTTAAGTGGCAATTATTAAAAAAGAAGTGATTTTTTTCTTGCTCGCTACGCTTGTTTGCAAAAAAATTAAATTAACGTCACTAACAAGTGAATGTTCCCACCCCCAACTTGCAACAATACCAGTTTATATACCAAACGTTACTTAAAGATTTTTTTTTTGCTCGCTCGCTCGCCAGAAGTGAAAATTAGGATCGACTTTTTTGTTTGTTTCGGTCGCTTGCCCCCCCCCCCCCCCCTGACGGAGTACCCCAGGTACGCCACTGACATGTAGCGATCATAAAAACAATTTTAGATATAAATTTAAAATGCAGATGATGAGGATAACTGTTTATTATACTGACCGTCTTCACAGTTTCTACCCTCATACCCAGGCGCACAAATACATGAGTAGTCATAGTATTCATCCATACACGTTGCGTCATTAAAACATGGTCCAGACATACAGGAATCAACATCTTGAGTGAAGATATGAAGTAAGAATAACATTTATTAATGTGAATTCTCAATGCATTATAAAATGTATGCTTAGACAAACAGGACAGCTACAATTTAATATTTACCTATTATTTCATTAATGTATTAAATTATCAATTCATTTATCTCTGTTTTAAGTAATTTTATTTCGTCGATTTAATCGTGTTGTGTTACATGATAAAGATAAATTTTGTTTGTAAAAAATACTTTACGAGTGGACGGTGTTATAATTGTCAACACCTAAACGATGAATGATAGTCCATTAGGAGAACTGCGGTTCCCTCGGAAGGGACTGCATATCTCCTGGTTGCCTACCTATTTGCATTTACAACCATACTGGCTGTAAAATGAAATTAGTTACCCTGACCTAACCACTATCATCCTTCAGTTTTGTAGGCAATGAAAAAAAAACACAATTAATCTTATATCAACCACAAAGAATATTATAAGGCAGATACTTCTGAATATTGTCCCTGTACATTTATTGACATAAATTCGAAATAATACTGAGCAGCATTTCTGTACATTAAAGAATTTTAAAAAGACGAAGGAATTCGAATCGTTTAACATAACGTGAAATTATCACAATAAAAATAAATTACTAATATTAATATTGGGAATACATTCACGGGCCCTGCATGGATCAAAGAACCATTCCCATTTCACCGATAAGGATAAAAACTATATATAAATACAAATCGTTTACAAAAATTAATGCGGGAAAACAAATTATCGAGTTTTTCTTACCAGCCGTATAAGAAATGCGATAACCCGGATAGACTACGTTTTTGTCCGAGTAGAAGTAGAAGAAGATTTGGTTTGTGTCGTTGAATACATATGTCCTTTCGCTCAGAGGTAAGCTTGTGCGGTCTCCATCAAGTTCATAAATGTCCGGTTGCATGGGATCTACTTCATAGATTGCGGGACCTTTTCCAAAAATGAGGGCGTCCCTGAGCGGTGGTTCTAAATTGAATTCCTCTAGGATGAGCGTGATTTGTGTTGCATCTGCGATTTTCAGATGAGAGTAGCAATCCTGACGATTTGGGTAACCATTTGGGTAACCGGGACTCGTGATATTCCCTTCACTGTCGTAGTAAATGATATTGCATCCAGCGTTCCCTGCGAAGAATTTAAACGAAATATTTTAAAAAGGGATATTATTTTATAGATTGAACTTTTCTATTCCGATGCAACCCTAAATCACTAACAGAGTGACGACAACCGATGAAAAAGTTGCATACATTGACATCTACCCCCAGACAACTACCCCCTAGGACAACTACCCCCGGAAAACTATCCCCCAGACAACTACCCCCTAGGGCAAACGATGGTTATCATATGGGGGTAGTCGAAAATCGTTCGCAGACCAAACTGGTCGTGAAAGAGTTTTTTCTTAGCTTTTCCAAGAGTAGGCAACATATCTCAAATTGATCGGTGACTGATCACCAAGTGATCTTCATTGCTTGACGACTATTTCCGGGCTGTGTTTGGCTGAGAAAAGAACGGAAGCTGATCGACGAATGATATACGATCAGTCACCGATAAACGTTCTCAGAACGCCAACAACTAGTAAGAAATGCCGAGAAGGCAGGAGAGTTATGAATAAGATGTCTAAATATCAATTACTCTTGGATTGGG